GAAGAAGAAGAAGTAGTTTTGTTTTTTTTTGTTTTTTTTAGACTTTAGAAACTCAGAAGCTGATCAAATATCAGGTTAAATATCGGTGGGGTGGCCGATGTGCGATATTCTGTTTTAAGGCCGATACAGGCCGATACCGATAGGGGGCCGATTATATTGTGCATCCCTAGTTAGGTCATTACTGAGTGAGTGTGCTGTTAATGCTGGGAGCCACCATGTGTATTTGGTTGAAAGGTGCATATTATGACCATAAACCTTATCTCTCACCTATTATCTTACGTCTCTGCAGCTGAATAAACAATTTCAATAAAAAGATATAATTTTACAGCCTATTTTTCTAGATCATTTTCTTGACTCAAAAGGGTGAAGCAAGATCCTTGCTTCAATGTGACCTTTTTTCCCATCACAAATATAATGCAGAAAAAAACATGATGAGCGAGAGGCAGGATTATGAGAGGGAATGCGTCCCGTGGCCCCTGGCTCCTCAGCGGAGGCCTGGGTCAGAGCAGAAAGCTGCAGTGGTAATTACTGAGGGACTGATTGCTGACAGGACCTTCCAGCAGCCTGTGGTTAACTGGATGGAAGCGAATGGGGGGGGAGGATGTACGAGCCTAACAGATGCTTCACTCAGGACAGTTTAAGGGCAGTTTTTTTTTTTTTCCTCAAAGTTGCAAAGACAATAAAAAAAACAGCTTACTTCCCTTAGGTTTTTGACACTCTGGAGGCAGGATGGAGAGACGTTCAAGATGAACTGCAAATTAGCACTCATTCCTTTTATGAAGACCTTTTTTTTATTTCCAAATGGGTAAAAAACTTAAACTAACATATGTTACAGCGCAGAGAGAAAGAAAGTCATTCTTGAAGGTGAAGCTGAAAGATAAACAACATAAACTGACTTGAACTCGTTTCTCTGACTGAGTGGGAGGAATGTGTGATTGTGGCAAGCACTGCTTGGCCACAACTGGTACTGTACACCGGTTCCCAACTGGATTATGCCAGTTTCGTGCTCAGGGTGGTCATTTAGGAGCACTTGGGATCGTTCATCATGACCATATGGATGCTCCAACCCTGTGTTTAAGCCATCTCATTCTTACCATCCACGAGTGGGGTTGATTTAGCAAAGGCTGTATTTACTCTTGACAGAATGGTCTGTGCCATGGATATATAGCAACATTAGCTGCTGTTGTTGCAACCTCCCACTTGGATGTAGTTAGAAGAAAATAATTTTATTTTAAAAGGTGGAATCAGCTTATGACAACATTTCTTAATGAGATTTGAACAATGGAGGAACATGTTTTGTTCTGTGTCATCATTGTATACCAAAACAGCAGCAACAGCAACTGAGAATCAAGCTGTGCACTGGCATAGAGATCAGTAGAATCTGCACTTTGGCAGATTTTACAAAAGAAAACTATCAACATTGAGGTTCTAAAAGGTACTTTGTTCAAAGTAAAATTACATTTACCATATTCAGGTACTTAGCTAAATCACAAAGGCTTTATTTATCATCTGTTCTTGTAAAGAGGGATTGTCTTCGAGTCAATGAGTCGATGCAATCGGCTGGTTTTCCTTAGAAAACTTAGAATCAGTTTGACTGTATGATCTAGTTAAAATGTCTCAATAAAGTGCCTTGAGAGTATATGTGTTGTGAATTGATGCTATATAAATAAACTGAATAGAATTTAAGAGAAACTTGCAGGGCACTTTTTTTTAGCCTGCTGACCATCAGTGCACAGCAAGGCAAGGGGACGGCCCTTAAATTGGATTTAGCTTTGGTCCCTCTGCATTCTCTGGTATCTCATTAAATAGATTTTTATCCAGAGGAAACATACGATGAAGGTTCTACGAAATGTGACCTTTTCCCATTACTACTCCAACTCATAAATTAGCACAAAACATTCAAGCTGGAGCCCCGGTAATTGTATAACAAAACGTGAACCAAGAGCGTCACTGACCTCTGACGGTTTCTTGTGCTGAAGACGGACCCATGTGCTGCTGGTGCCGGTATTCTTGGAGGACCTTGACCATGACGTCACTTGACCTGGAAGAGAAAACACTATGGACTTACAGATGCTCTTAAAAAAGCCTCTTTTATTCTTTTATTCTCAGCATTTTTTGTTTTATTTTAAACATTTTGGGTTTTTTTGCTGTCAAGTCCTTGCCTGAAGCCCCTTTACTTGCATAAATAGTCTGGCATCTGATGAGCATCTCTCAAACAATAATAGTTGAATAAGTTCAGGAGCAGCGATCATTTAAGCAGCAGAGAATCTTAACAACAATCGTTATCAAATTACCTTGAAAGAAATGTTCAGGAGGGTCTCTTTTTTTTCTTAGTAAATTTAATTAAAAAAATAAACATGACAGCTGCCATCCAACAACCTCAGTTTGTGTCCACTGCCTGCACTAAGAATCAAGCTTAAGTGAGGCAAACTAATGACTATCCTCTAGGAGGTTAATTAGGTGGCGACACTATAAATAACATCTGGTTAAAGTGTTCAGTCTGCTATGGTCCATTACAAGCTTAATAAACATCTTAATTGTAATTAAGCAAACACTGGAACCAATAGCCTCCTCATCTACATCCAACAGCCCCATAAAGGCATTTCTATGCATTACTTGTTTCAGGAAAAAAAACTAAAGCTTAGTTTTGATATTTTCTCTAAGTGTACCTAATGAAAAGAAACCTTATTTCAATTTAAAAGAGGAGTTAAGATCCATGAGAATAAATTTAGTTTAATGTTTCACATCCACTTCTGAGTGTGCATGCCTCCCACTCAACATATTTCCCGCCATCACCACAGCAGTGCCGCCACCATGCTGACTTCACTCCTCAGCATCTAGCAGAGCTCAGGGAAAAGCTGCTGGCATATTTGACTTCAGAATTGACTAATTTCTTCTTCTACACAGAGACAACACAGATACAGCATAATCAGGGAAGAACTTTTCACGTATTTAACATGTTTCCTAAAGTGGATGCAGATTCAACCACAAATTCATCACCGCCACACAGTAACATCTCTGGGCAGTTTTAGTTTAAATGTAGATTACTACAAACTCTTAAATGTGTTATTCTGCAATTGTCATAAAGGAAAGTTGATATGAACATTTGAGCAAACATCCGATATTAATATTCGGGTTATGGTCACAATCCATGATTGACTCATTTAATACCTCTTCCTTCCCACTCAACTGTGTGGGATAAAACAAAGGGGGGAAAAAAAACACACATAGGTGACACTGCATCCCTAATAAGATAAACACCCTACAATCATTCTGCGCATTAGCATGACAGCCACATGTCCCCTGAAAACACATCAACAAATAGCAAAAATACTTCAAATAAGCATTGGTTGATCTGGTCTAAGTATATCTTAATCTCTTACTGGCGGTTTTTTTTTTTTTTGATATATAGGGTTTTCTCTGTTTTTAGGTGTGGGTGTTTTCCCGAGGGGGGCGTGTTGTGCATGTGTGTCAATGTTTTTAAAAACCTTTTTTTTGGGGTTTTGCACCCAAAGGAAAGGCTTTTTTTTTTTTTGTTTTTTTTTTTTTTTTTTTTTTTTTGTATCATTATATTTCTTTCCCTAAAAGATGTTTGGATTTCAGCCATGTGAAAAAGTCCAATCAGCGCACCCTAGAGCTGGTCCATTAATTGATTAAATAGCTCCAGGTGTTACTCAATAAGAGTTTGTTTTTAAAAGAAATGTGTGTCATTTGTCATTTTTAATTATAAAACTTAAGGGGAAAGAAATTCATAAAAAATAATACACAAGAGGAAG